AACATTGAGCACAGTGAGTGAAGGTAAGGTGAATTCGAACTTTTATTTATTCTTCTCCATCGCTTTCGTCGCCTTCAAAATAGTCCCCTGCCAAGGCAATGCATTTATGCAAACGGTTTTTTCAAATTATGGAGGCATGTCAAGTATTCACGTACTGGTATGGGTTTCAGAGAGCGCGCCGATTCGTGTTTTATCTCCTCAAACGGCACAAAACGGTATCCTCGAATTGGTCTCTTCAGTTTTTGGAAGAGCCAGAAGTCACATGGTGCTGAGTCGGGCGTATACGGTGGTTGGGTAACGATATATACGTGAAATTTTTAGCGCAATGGTCACGAAGAATGAGTGCTCTGTGCATAATCGAGATCCATAAAGCACGAAGGCACTTTTAGTCGTTTAGTAAACAAAAGCGTAACTAAAATACCAATGAGGAAATATCAGTGAAAGACTTGAATTTTGACGTAGAAGTCAATAACAGAGCTACCAAAATTAAAAAAAAAAAAATTTTAAAATTCACCTTACTTTTTGCTCACAGTAGTATACTAAATAAAAAAAATATATATAAATTTTTTCAAGCAGAAGTAAAAACAGCAGTTATTAGAAGCTTTTTATTACAAATAAAATGGAAAGAGTTGACATTTTTTACTATTTTTTGGAAACATAGATTTTTAGGCTTACTCGACTGTATACGATAACGGGTTTGAGTACCTGGTCATAGGAACAGCCCAAGAAACTGCGGTCCAATTATCGTGCCAGATAGCGAACAGCCATAACTCCGGTAAAGTCTACAGATTACGCGAACGCTGGCATATCTATTTCCCCGTCTAAGCATTGGTAAAGACTAGTCGTCACCAGAAAGGCCAACAGCAAACGGCAGAATTAAACTACGTGAAATCTATCGAAGGGAACAGAACTAAGTCTTTACTCTTTCTAAACAGAACATTTTAAGCACAACAACCGGCATGGTAAAAGGATGGACTGTTTTTTCAGCTACTTTTTTCACTGTCTTGCTCTCAGTGCGGCCAGTTGTCGTTTTCTAAAAATTTTTTTCCTCGATTTCCTTATAGATCTTTTATCTGTAGGCATCATTAATCTCCTGAAGTTCATAAAAGGCACTAAGTGCTTGGAGCATCTGAAAAGGTGAGAGGAATCTTCTTCACAGAACCAACATAGCTGCAATCTTGGGATCAGAAAATTCAGTCATCTTCTTGAGTTCGGTTTAACATTTGATTCGTGAATTTCTTTCCTTTCTGTTAGGTTCGAAAATATAATACGACAGTGATTTTTTGACGTTTAAGCATTCAAAAAATATTAAAATCACATCAATCCACACAAGATCAATCGGACAGAAAAAGAAATATTGTTGTTAAAATTACTTCTGAAGTTGCAAAGTTCCAATTTTACAGGGGTTTTACAATAAGAGTTGTTATTTTGATGTTCAAAGAAAAATGGTCGGATGTTTATTTCAATGTAAAGAAGAAGATAATGGCATTAAAAATGGAAAACAATGGCCATCACGGCTATGCTTATAAAACTGTATGCTATTTAAGTAATCTACCATCACCAAATCGTAAAGGGACTGCTATATGTCGTCAAGAGCTTCAAGAATTCCATCCTTGAGGATTTGAATCGGCGTTAACCTTTCACCTGGCTCCAATTGAAGAATTTGCAAGGTGTCACAAGATCTCTGTAGCCAATTGCGATCACCTTTTCGAGAGATAATACGTCCCGTAAAGTTTTCCCTTATAAGATCGATTGTTTTGTTATTTTAGTTGCACGTATCTCTTGCTCCATCCTCATTCCGTCGGACCATAAACTCTAACTGTTCTTTCCAACGGACTGGAGGTCTCCCTCTCTCGAAAGTTCCTAACGCCGACTCGTCAGATGTTATCATCGTCCCTGCCTCGACGACGTCGAAGTTATTCGCAAATGCAATGACTGTTGGTTTGATGACGGAAGATATTTTGCTTAGTCATCGTTCACTACCATACTCATATCCTTCGCTTCCTTAGAAAGCAGAACTCACGGTGCAGTTCTTAAGACTAATGATGTCAATATCATCGGCGTGCCTTCTCTATTCAACTTTGCAGCTCGTAATATTTTCCCCAGCAACAAAATGAAGAAGTCACACCACGATAAAGAATCAACTTGTCTGAAATCTCGTTAGGTATCGAAGAGGTCCCTCCCAAAACCTGGCGGAGCTCTTGGCGTTTCTTAACGTCAGTTTACACAGCCGCAAAAGTTTTGCGGGAATACCAAATTCAGACATAGCGGCGTAGGGGCAGCTCCTTTTCGTGCTGTCAATTCTTTTTTCACGGGTCTTTTCCAAGATTAGGCACATAAGGAAATGGTTAACTTACCTGGCCTGAGGCCACACTGATAAGGTCCAATCAGTTTCTTGACGGTGCTCGATAGGACCTTATTTGCGATATTAAGGACGCTTATCCCACGGTAATTGGCGCAGACCGTGGGGTCCTCTTTTTTATGGATTAAGCAGAGCACACTTAAATTCCAATCGTCGGGCATGCTTTCGTCCAACCGTATTCTACAAAGTAGCTGATGCATGCTCCTTACCAGCTCTTCACCGCCGTGTTTGAATAGTTCTGCCGGTTCCAGCCGAAAATTTTAGAAAATTTTAAACCAATAACATACATATATGTACATACCTATTGGGACAAATTATATCTAAAAAATGGAATAGGACATTTTAATTATTTTAAAATTTAAAAATAAAAATTAAATAATTTTCAAATTTTTTAAAATTTTTCAGTCAACTACTACTGTTTTATTCATTTGAATATTACAATGGTATAAAATAATAATAATTAAACATTCCAAGACAGCATCAATTTTGAAGCCTACTTTCAGGCTTCAGAAAATTAGTTACTACCTACCAATGACTAATGCATTAATGAGTAATTCAAATACAAATATTTATAACACAATAACATTTATCAATGAATTTACTTATTTGCTTATATATCCAAATGTACGTACTCAAGAATATTTGTATATGGATGTAGGGAGACAAGTTTAGGGTACTAATAACGATTAAGTTCAAAGCCTACGTCGGAGTTTCTAATTGTCATAAATGGTGATTGAACCAAATTTACCAAAAAGCACTAAAAAATTTTAAATATTAAAAAGTGATAAGTGAACTATGTAAGTGTTCCCACTCAACGTTTCTGAACACATATTTTAGAGGGACGTTTCTACAAAAAAAAAAAAAAAAAAAAAAAAAAAAAAAAAAAAAAAAAAATTCCTTAATATAATAATATCTAAGTAAATATTATTATTTTAAATTTTATAATGCACGAAAAAAATCGTAAAATGACCTCACACAACAATTCCAAAGTATTTACGGGTCGCGTGGCACTAAGAAAATTTAAAAGAGAACTGCCGCGCACACACACACACACACAAACGCCCGCCCAAAAAGTGACAGCGGTTTCTACGCCACGCCACACCAACGAGCATACAAAAGAATATCTACGCAGAACAACGTCAGCTTCGACCTCATCAAATTCAACATCAATGACGACAAGAACGAATAGAGATAGGCACGTACATAGTACATACATATGTATCTATTAAACTACGCCACTCTTAATACACTTGACGACGCAGACGAAACGCAAATTATATATGTACGTATGTGCATAGAACGCTCTTCTTTATACCGGCAATTGGAGAGAGCGACGACAACGACCACAACAACAAAAATTAAACCGAACATAAAATATCCATTGTAGTTCAGTCAACCGTTACGCTTACATTGTAAATGCAATTCAGCGTTCTATTAAATAACAATAACAATCAAACACACACTCTGACAGACATATTGTAACGCATATGACCAGTGAGAGACAGACAGTCCAATTGGTAGTGAAATAGCATTAATATCATGAGATGGTCACATTCCGATCTGTTCGACGTCATTTCAATTAGCTTGGACGTCTATTTTTCTCATAAATTTTCTCATTCTGTAGTTAATGTATCTCTGAGAGTGCGATTGCCATCAGTGGATTCTTTTATTTACTGTTTATGTAGAACAGGTCGAGAGTACTTGCCGAAAATGTTAGAAGCAGAGCTACACTGTAAGAAATCTTTTGAAAAAAAACTATTTTTCAAAAAATATATATAAACTGTTATTCTACGTGTATATATAATTATTTTATTTTGTTAAATCTTATGTTATTTCCTATTTTTCATTTTCTTTTATTTTATTTAATTTTATAAAATTTTATTTTACTTTTTCTATTTTATTTCATTTATTTTATTTTTTATTTTTTTATTTTACTTTAGTTTGTTTTATTTTATTTTCAATTATTTTATTTTATTTTCATTTATTTTATTTAATTGTATTTTAAAATATTTTTAATTTTTTTTTTTTATTTTTATAATTTTTTATTTTATTTACTTTTTTTTATTTTATTTAATTTTATAAAATTTAATTTTTTTTATTTGATCTTATTTACTTTTTATTTTATTTTATTTTATTTTATTTTATTTTATTTTAATATTTTTTTTTGCTTAATTTATTTATCATTGCTTAGTTTTTTTTTTATCTGCTTACTTATTTATTTAAAATTCGTTATTCTTGAGCGAAATTATCCATTGACTTTTTTGATTATCGAGTCAGAACATGAGGATTGGATTGGGATTTAAGGAATTCGTTACATAAATAGTGTGAGTGGGTTCTAGCTATAATGTAAACAAGGCGATATGAGTAATGTGAATTCGCAAAAAGAACACAGCATTTACTACAAACATATTTATGTATGTTTATTTATAAATAAACATTGCATAGAATAAAATTCTTAAAACTTATCAACTTTATCAACCCACTGATATTATTCGAAAGTGATAACCATGTGATGTAAACATCTTGTCAGCTCATTTAATAAATATTGACGCTCTCCCATATTTACAGTGCAAGCAACTGATATTGCAGAGTGCGCTTCAAAGCCAACACATGAAAAACAAAAACACCCTCAAAATAAAAAAAATAAAAATAAACTATACAACGAAAAAAACTTAACCATTTCAAAGCTACCAAACGGTTCGGTGAATGATCTCACAAAGTGTGGTGAATATTTCGTGAGCGGATAAGAAGTTAGTTAAGAAAAGGTAACTCAGCCACAAAGAGAAGCGCAGCCCAAAGTGACTGAGCGGTTGACAATTAGCAGTGAGTAAGGAGATAAGCAAACAATAACAACACCAGTGCTAAGTACAAATTGATTGTAGTCAGCTGAGTTGGCGCTCAGTAAAATGTACGGCAATCACGTTGACGCCAACTGCGCTGCTCCATCGGCACAGCGTCGTGGCGGCGTCGAAACAACAAACGCAAGCGGCTACAATGGAGCACGTACACCGATGCATGCCGTAACAACAACAATGACCACAACGCCGAGGCCAACGAGAGTGGTAGCGCCGACAGAAGCGACACAAGCAGAGAGAGTTCAACTGCCGACAGCGAGTAATGTGACAACGAGAACAGCGATTGGAGCAACAACGTTAGGGCAGCCCTCAATGACGAGTGGAGCGCCGTCAGTAAAGACTGCGACGGCAGTAAGCGCTGATTCAAAGTCAGTAAATTCGCATGTGAGTAGAAGTAAAAATTCAGTTGAAGGTGGACCGCGTGCGCAGACGGATGTAACGGATTACGAGTTGGTCGATAGACAACAAAGAAATAATATAAATAAAAACCAAACGCAGCAATTGCAATTGACAACAAATCGAAGTGAACAAAAAGCACAACAACTGCAGCAACATCAGCAGCAGCAACAGCAGCAGAAGCAAATAAACACAGTAAACACGAAATTTAGTAACAATAATAATATTAGTAGTGTGTCGTCGTCGAAACCGCCACAAACCAGCCAAACGTCATCGACAACGATTTATATAAATCAAAAAAATAACAACGGTGCAAACGCAAACGAAAATTTCGCGCGACAAACACAAAATCCATACTCGTCGGGTGTGAACGTCAACGCGAGTGTGAAAGCCGCCAACAACACCTACGCAGTGCGCGATCCATATAGCAATAATAACAACAACAACAATCCAAATTATACGCCCAGCGATAGTGAAAGATACTACGGACAAACAACACCAGTGTCTGGTTATCCTCAACAGCAGCAAGAGCAGACGGTGGGTTACAACAACAGCAGCAATTACGAAAACTATCAACAGGTGTGTGTGCGTGTTTGTTGGTGTTGTAAACAAAATCAAGCGCAACGAAAGTAGAAAAACAAATTCAAAACTAAACTACTGAGCTTTGTGTTGTAAAGAAAAATACTAAAGCCGCCTGCTTTAACCGCCTGCCATCCGCTACTCATCACGAGCTTGTTGAGCTGCATAGTTAACCGAAAATAGCTCACCACTAGCGTGTAACCACCGCTACTAAGATCTCTGCTGTTCATAAATATAATATATTTATATGTTTTCGCCCCCTTTTTTGTGCTACCCAATTAACATTTCGCAACTAATGAAAATGTTAATGAACTTCACACGCCAGGCAGTCAGCCATCCAGCCATCCAGCCATTCAGCCATCTAGCCAACTACTCGATTACTTAGTACATTCCTCTTGTAGCTCCACCATGCATAATTATGTATGAACTTTCTGACTGCGAGTGTTTGTGAAGCAGTGAGTGTGTGAGTGTGTGAGTGTGTGAGTGTGTGAGTGTGTGTAAGAACATATCAGCCACTTCAGCAGCCAACTTCAACACGTCCACAAAAACTCGCAATCGCACGCACACCAAAGCGAGATCGTCATACACTTGTGAACGCACTCCAAACGGCACGACAAACTGGGAAATAATAAGTAGTAATACAAACACAACAACAAACATAACAACAAACACATTCTTGCCGGCAAATTGTGTCGCTCTTTCGCCGCCTTTCCATGCCACCCGCGCCCGCACTTCTCTGCATACCACGAGTATACACTTAATTTAATACCTCAAGAACACTTTACCTTCTGTGCTTCTTGCGGTTCTTCTTGTTTGTTGGCACTTTTATGATTGCCAACCAGCCAGGCAGCCAGCCGGCCGGCCGGCAAGTAGCTGATGGTTTGTACTGTGCTTTGTGGCTAACACTACAACAAGTTTGTTGTGTTGGCAATGGCAGTGGCCTGACTATTTGCATTACTGCTTGATATGGAGCCTTTCTTAGCAGCTGATGTGGCACGCGCATTACTCCAACGCGGAGACGTTGTTGAAGACATTGAGAACCAAGTGTGGTAGTGTATAGGTACGTGTCTATAGTGGCCAAAGAAGGAGTACATCGAGGGCTGGCTAGATGACACTACGTCAGCGCTACGCTATTTCTGGTTCTTGGTTTTCCCGTTGCACATGTCGGGTGTGTGTGTGAAGATGAAATACGTTATGCGGCATATATCCACGCCAGAGTTGTAAGGGAACTTTGATTTCGTTTCGAAGATTCTGACGAAGACTACAGATTTGGTGGCCACCTTTGGTGAAAATACTGCACAATCCCAGGTCCTTCTCATTATCCATCTCCATTATCTGTTGGACATTATTTCACATACTCGCTCCCTATCTTCGTTAGTTTTAAAAAAGTTGACCAATATTTTCTTCTCAACGCGACCCCAACTACAAAAGCCCCTGCACCGTTGCTTTCAGTAAACTACGTTATTATCCGCTATCAAGAATTGCATGCAGTCTTTGATAGTCAACATTAATTCTAGTCGGTTAGGTTAGTTTCGAACCTCCGTCTCCGGGAATAAGTTCGCAAAAGCAATATTTAAGCTTCGGCTTTGATGGCAAGTCATCGTAAAGACTCCGAAAGATCTCTATTAAGCAAGTGAGTAATGTTGGAATCTAACACTGGATTGAGTTGAGTTGAGGCGGTTGCTGATCAGATCGACTAGCAAACTTAAACCTGAAAGCCTGTTGTGATACTACTATGGAGTACTTCTCAGCTGCTCAGGTCTACGAACCATCATGAATGTCTTAAGATACTGCTTAAGCCAGCCATTGCTACGTTAGTCCAAGCAGTGGTATTCTAGCTATTTGCGTCGAGTGATGCTTAAGGCTCTTCCTCTCTTCCTCTCCTTCGTTCCTGCCACTACGACAAACATCATTGGTAAATTATCCCATTCCGATCCCGTGAATTCCCATTAAACAGTATCTAATTAGTATGACCGTTGTTGAAGTGATGGTGAACCGATCTAGCCCGATTAGATCCCATGATTTCTTAACGTCCAGCACAGGTCAAAGCTGTCTTGTCATGCTGCGGGTTCATTCGCTAAATCATTTGGTGTTGGCTGTTTTGATGAGAGCCAGCTCAAGTGAACTTACAGACCACGGCTGTTTCGCATCTAGCTGAGAGCTTGTTTAAAGTGCTTCTGCATTTCAGCGCCACTTTTGTGGCGGTGTATTCACATACATTGTAGAGACCTGAGGGCAGCTTGGCTTTATAAGTGTATACTGATTGATCGGCTTGTAGCCAGAGATCCCAGCAACCATTCTGTGACTCCCGTAAAATATCTTTACTGACCTTTGCCTTTAAAGCTTTTTGCACGCTGAGATAAACATGAGTGTGCTCTAATAGGAGCTAAATAAAAGCTTAATCTTATAATTTCGGAATTTTTCTGTTCGAGTTCCAGTTTCGATTGTATGTACACCCAACATTCTGCACCCTTACACACGTAAGGTGTATGGTCTGGCGGCTCATTACATACATTGTCTAAGTCTATAAGTTAAAGCTCCAACTCAGCGCTCGCAGGTGTAGTTATGTGTGTATCAAAAAATGTGAACTGTGGCTGTTGACTGGCAGCGAGGCAGCCAAACATGACATGCTTCCAGATGCAACACAGTGATTACGAATGTATTTCTCAATCTTAGCTTTCTGACTGCCGTTTGTCTCGACAATATTTGATTCGGCTGCTGATGTTTGGGCGGTTCCGGAATGTTTATTTCGACAGACAGATAGATACGTGCATACGTGTATGTAACACAGATATCAGCTTGATCATGCTACTTACAAACTTACAGACTTATGCACACTTACCAATTGCTTGAATACAATCTATCTTACATACATACATACATACATACAAGCATCACATTTTCGTAGGTTGCAAATCGGTTTGTCTTTTCGGCCGGTCTTACCGGTGTAGTGATGTGGTTAATGGCTTTAGCCAGTTTTACCGTTTGTTGTTGTACTCATTTACATATGCATTTTAAGGAGCTAGTAAGATACATACATACATACATACATCGCAATAAACTCTCATACATTCTAAAAAAAAATTTTCTTTTAATGCGCTTACATAAAAGAACCGTAAGCGTAAATTTGATGGAAGAATGCACGTAAACCGCTTGGAAATTTGTAGACGGAAGTATGATTACTCAGTTGGTGCAGTGAGTCACACGATTCTAAGAAAATTTGACAAAAAAATTTCTTGTCTATGACAAATTTAGATTTCAGCGGCTGCTGCATCAAATGCATCAACTTCGTCAGTTTACTTTATGGACTTTTTACATTATTTACTGTGACTTCCAGTAATCATCTGAATGGTACCGCAAGAGATCATGCGGAATGTGGAGAGAACATTTCAAAAATTTTACAAGTCTCGACGCAGAAAGGTTGCAGGTTCCTTTCACTAGTCGCTGTAGAAACTATAAAAATTGTAAAGCAAGAAAAAACGATCCCTCACAACCCAGTCTAGAGTTGAAAGCAGACGATTAGCTAAATAATCTTTTGAAGATTATAAAGAAATTGATGAGGGCGAACTGTGGAACTGTGTCGTAAAATCAATATCCTAATATAGCAATGACCTCACTCTGACCGAATTGTATACGAGGTGTGATCAGAAAATAACCGTTTTTTTTTTCAACTTTTTAAAAAAGTATTCATTTATTCATCAACAACCATCTTGACTTTTCAAAGTAATACCCCTCATCCTCGAAACTCTTCTGAAGCGCGTTTTTTAGTATCGCTAATAGCTCCTGTTTCGATTTTTCGCTTTCCTTTCATCGGTGTGTTTAGTTTTGGCATGAGAAAAAAGTAGGCGAGACGGGTGAATACGGAACCTCAAATTTTGCCAGAGCATCGGCAAGAGTGTCTTTGATTTACAAAAGATCGACATGTTCACTTTAAATTATTACCGTTGAAACTAAAGTTCATCTGGGTGACTCCATTTGTTGTAAATTTTACTTTCTCGGACGAAAAAGAATGTTATCTTGAAGGGCTGGATGGTCTTCAGTTATGTAACGGTGTGTGTGGGACATTCACAACAGAAGCTACACTCGAATTACGGTTCAAATATATAACGTATGTATGTATATAAATGGCGATTTGTAAGCGCTGAAGCAATTTTTCGGCCGAGCTACTCCTAAAATTTGTAGTTTTTGCTTCTTGATGCCAATAAATGAAGGGGCCTGCAGTTTATTCAAAGCGCCCGTCGAAAGGCGTATGGGGGAGCGGCTGGCATTCCATGCCGAGGGGTGACCGCAATTAATTTAACTTAAAATTTTATTTACGCAATGCTAACCACTAAAATAAACCTCCTTCCTTTTTGCGATGCCCATAGGGTGGAGCCACCAATTTTCCAACAGGAGAATGGGCGAATTCATGTAAGCAATGAAAGATGCGATCTTTGACTGATTGCTCACTAGAAACCAGTGACTGGCCGGCCTACTCTTCTTTTTTATTGGCGTTGGCACCGCTAACGCGATTATAGCCGAATTAATATCAGCGCGCCATTCTCCTCTTGTTTTTTGACTGTCTACCAGTTGGAAATGCCAAGTGAAGAGAGGTCACTCTCCACCTGATCCTCCCAACGGAGTGGAGGCCGTCCTCTTCCTCTACTGTTTCATCGAATATTTTCAGAGCTATTGTGTTTTCATTCATTCGGACCACATGACCTAGCCAGAGTAGCCTCCGCTTCTTGATTCGATGAACTATATCAATGTCGCCATATAACTCGTACAGCTCATCGTTCCATCGTCTCCCAAAACTTTTCTCTCGAAGACTCCCAAAGCCGACTCATCAGATGTTGATATCGTCCACATTTCTGCGCCATATATTTAGACGAGTATGAGAGCGACTTGTAGAGTTTGGTTATCGTTCGTCGGGAGAATACTTTACTTTTCAATTGCCCACTCAGTCCAAAGTAGCACCTGTTGGCAAGAGTGATTCTGCGTTGGATTTCAAGACTGACATTATTATTGGTGTTGATGCTGACTCCTAGATAATCGAAATTATCTACGACCTCCAAGTTATGGCTGTCAACACTGATGTGAGAGCCGAGTCGCGAATGCTATGACTGTTTGTTAGATAACAGGAGATATTTCGTCTTGCCTGCATTCACTACCAGACCCATTCGCTTCGCTTATTTAGCAGGTCTGAAAAAAGCAGAACTCTCGGCGCGGTTGTTGTGACCAATAATTTCGATATCATCGGCCGACGGCAGCAGCTGTACACTCTTATAGAGTATTGTACCTTCTCTATTCAGCTCTGCAGCTCGTATTATTTTTTCAACACCAAATTAAAGAAGTCATACGATAAGGAGTCGCCTTGTCTGAAACCTCATTTGGTATCGAACGGCTCGGAGTGATCCTTCCCGATTCTGGCAGAGCTTTTAGTGTTGCTTAAGGTCAGTTAGCACAATCGTATAAGTTTTGCGGGGATACTAAATTCAGATATAGCAGTGTAGAGGCAAAGGGGCTGCTTACTGTCGAAGACTGCTTTAAAGTCGACGAAGAAGTTGGTGTGTGTCGATCCTCTTTTCACGGGTCTTCTCCAAGATTTGTCGCATGGTGAATGTCTGGTCAATTGTTGACATGCCTGGTCTGAAGCCACACTGATAAGGTCTGCTCTACGGACTTAGATCCCATAGAGAACGTTTGAGGAGTATTAATGTGAAGTATTTATGGAATTTCACAATACAGATCAGCTTAAGGCTGTAATTATAGCGGAAAGAGCTAAAGTGGGGCATCTCGCATGCTGAAAGTCTCAGGAAAAATGTTTACTTGGTTAGTTTTAATGGCAGTGGGAAGTGTCTCATCATTGTGAATCAAGCTTTAAAACGATTTTGTTCCAAAAAATCTTTATCACATAATAAAGCAGTGAATTTTTTTATTGCAGTTTGTTTGATTTATTCCAAACACCATTCTCCAAAATATTACTCTCCTGTCTTATGATTCTGAAACGCACCATAATATGAATTAAAAAATGTGAATTTCGAATTTCATTGCTTTTTTTTTAAACAGAATAAATTGCGCTTCCTTCATAACTTTATTAACTCATAAAGTCTCGCTTATAATACTCATCAACTTAATTCATAATATTCATCGAATTCACATCGAAAGAATAACGAAAAAGCATTTCACTCGCATATAAAAGAAAAAGAGAGAAAAAATCCAATCTTATTTCTTTATTAAATTTCAAAAATATCCTCCACCAAATAGCCATCCGATTATTATCAATCCGACGAGAACTTCGACGAAGACATGGAAGCCGAACGTGATCTCGCCGAAGATGCGCAATGGAAGAAGATACAACAGAACACCTTCACACGTTGGGCCAACGAACATCTGAAAACGATCGATCGCAGCATTAATAACTTGGAGACCGATCTCTCCGATGGCCTACGCTTGATTGCCTTGATTGAGGTATTATCGCAAAAGCGTATGCCCAAATACAATAAGCGACCAACATTCCGCAGTCAAAAGCTGGAAAACGTGTCGGTGGCATTGCAATTCCTCGAACAGGAGCATATCAAGATTGTCAATATCGGTGAGTAGAAAGACTTCAAATAAGTATTTACATTTATTTTATATTTAATTTTTTATTATATTTACATATTATTACATTCCCTAATAATCGTAGCTTAAACTTAAAATGGAATTTGCATAAATTACCAAAAGCTGGGAAGAGCGAAAAGGTCGGCAGAAGTTTGTATATACATACATATGTACGGGTATGAGCTCATACGCAGGCGTAGCTTTGAGTGTTGAAATGTGCTTATACAAGAGAGTTGGAGTTTGTTTACATACACACATACATACATAATCGTACCTGACATTTGGCTGAGTTAGATAAATTCAATGAAACTTAAATAATAAAATGAGTTTGTATATAGAGCAGCGGTTGTGTATGTATGTATTGTATATACTCGTACAATAGATAGGTGAGGTGAAGAAAGTCGTGCATAGAAGAACGACAAGTTAAGCGTAACAAATGCGCACAAAATGTCTCGATTGCGCCGCATAGAGCCCGTTAGACAAGACTGGGAATCGAGTTTTGAAACGAGTTTGAAGCAAGAACAAACAAACAAAAAAACTAAAAGAAAAAATAAGACAACATAAAACAAATTGAAACTTTCATAACGTAGGTACCACGAGAAATGTGTGCGATCAGTTGTCTACGTGCGTGCATATGTATGTACTCGTATGTATGTATATCTTATGTGCAGTGTGCGGCTTCTCATGCCTCTTACCGCATTCTAATCTTGCTTGCAGGCACATACAAACATACATATTGTACATATTGTACATCTGTGTGTGTGTACAATACACATTTAGTTATTTTGAATTTAACGAAGCATTAGAATTAAACGATATCTCGCCACTCTTGCGTCACACTCGCCACTGTTGAGGGTTTTCTAATGGCAAATGACTTCACGGTCAAGACGATGATATCACACAATAACAACAACAATTACATGTGTATGTACAAATAATTTTTATGAGAAAAACATCACAGATACATATGTACATGCAGCCATGTATATATGTATGTACATCTAAGCATGCCAGTACTCGTTTATTCTCAATTTTTGTTTCCGTATGAGCAGACCAAGCCTTGTTGGCTTTTCGTTTTATATCGTTTCAGTTTTGTAAACGCTTAAGTGATTTTCGGCCGAACTGCGCCACCAATTTGTGGTGAGCGTTTTGTTTTGGTTCAAGAAATGGATGGATCTACAAATTACTCTAAGCCGCCTCCCAGCGGCTGATGGATTTTTATGAAGAGCTTCGATTTTCGTGCCAGATATACACATGGAAGGCTAGACATTCCCTGCCGAAGAGCGACCGCAATTTGAAAAAAATGATTTTCTATGATTTTAGATCTTCGTTTGACCAAGACCCGAACACTGGTGTTCCGAATTACGATATGCAATGCTAATTACTCGGCAATTGGGGCCGCCACACGGTATACGAGGGTACAAATTCACCGGTTCTGAGATAAAACGAAGTTGAAAAAGTTTTGATCTAAATCTGTTAAATGTATTCTCCTGGATGACGAACGGATTGACACACAGTCTAAACCCCTTATCTGTATCGGGAAAAAAATCCACACAACAATATCTCAGCCCAGAAGAAATCACTTAGAGTTCGACTTTCATTTCTGTAAGTCAGATATGTCCGAGTAGAGCAGCAGTCCTGCTTTTACTTCTCTTTTAGACTGGAAGTACCTAAATGAAGTTATATCACTGAAATGGTGTCAACTCCGGCGCATCGAACCGGTTAACGCAAAAATCGAATTTTTCGTCTGCTCCGAAATCGTCGAAACTTCCCGTTTCCTGCACCGCCTGTTTCCAGCTAACCTCAAAGACTTAGACCAAACTCGTCTGCTTCTAGCGCACCAGATCTCATTTGTCCTAATCTGAAGTGATTTTCGTGAAAACTTAAACTGAAGAATAAAATTTGGTTGATTGGCTTGATGGGTAGTAACAATTTACCCACAAAGATGCAAACAAACAAATTTATTTATGTACATACAAAAACAAAACTAATGTAGTTTAAAATTTAATTCGAGAGTGTTTTTCACTTACTGTTACCCAATTAGTAATGCATTATATTGCATATAAAAAAATATTTAAATATGCTTATACATACATATATACATGGGATGCATTTAGACCTGAGAAAGGTCTGACTTCACTTTGCGTTGAAAATAAAAAAAGCACAATTTTTTTCTCGCCTCTTCTTATTGCATAATGGCGATAAATTGTATAATGGGCATAAAAAAGTTTTGCTTGAGCAATATAATATGGACATTTGTACATACATATGTATACATATAGAAATGTATAGAGTGTCGCCACAGCCTATACACGTATGTATAGTGTAGCAAGCGTCAATGATTTTGTAAATATTCAAAGCAAAAAATGAAAATAAAATCACTTAAGATGCTTTATAGCTATGTGTGTATGTATATACACATGTACATACATTTATTTGCACATATAATACGTATGTATGGTGTGTGTGTCTATGCCTAAGCACGCTTTGACATTGCAATATTTTTATTATATGTACATACATACATATATGCCTTTGTATATATATATGGATGTCCCTGACAGCCTGCTGGGCACGTCGCGTCGTCGCATTCCATTGAAACCGGCGTTCTTTTGTCAATAACAAACAAGTGATGTCATTTCCAAACGAATACAAACCCTTTACGGAGGGAAGTTTAAATATTTACTTTAATTTCCTTTCATTTCATTTCACTCTCAATAATAATGGAGGCGTGAATATATCACTCATATTGGTTAAGATTTAATGCACAATTTCGACTTCGCATAATACTAATTCCAATGCACTCGATTTCGACTTTTCTGAAGATTCGAGCAAATGTTTTTCAATTGCCATGATCTTAATTGCCTTTTTTCAATAGAATGAGCGAAATATTCGATTTTCATTTGTATTCAATCCACTATGATCAAATATCCTTTAGAAAAATTTCATGTGGATACTGCAGCAAAATAAAATGAAATTAATCATGCGTTATATTGTATTTTCTATTTAATGTAATTGAATATTTTTAATTTAATTTCACATCATTTAATTTTATATTATTTTGTGTTATGAAATTTTATATTTCTTACTTTATTTAATTTTATTTTAAATTATTTTATTTTATTTTATTTTATTTTATTTTGTTTTGTTTTATTTTATTTTATTTTATTTATTTTTATTTAATTTAATTAAGTTTGATGGTGAACTACATCTGGTATAAAACAGTCACTGTTGTTGTTGTTGGAGCGCCTTTTCCAATTCCGCCTAGGGAGGTCCAGAAAACGAAATGTTTCGACGGGTTCGCATTTAAGGGAAATGGGTGTTAAATGTGTGGGTTTTAGGAGGTACGTACGTTAGTGTCGTGCGAGAATTCGTTACAGGGTTAGCCATCGATAAATGTGTCTAGGTCGAGCCTGGATAGCTAAAAGTTTAATCTGCTGAAATATCCAGACCTAACTTGCGCCAGTATTACGCAGGTCTCTCAAAG